GTCTAAGTCTGAACAAAAAGGGTTCACAATTCAGACGTCTAAGAAGGGACAAGAGTTTATGTATCTAACTCTGAACAAAAAGGCTTCATACTTCTAAGTCTGGAAAAGAAGGAACCAAAATTTATGCATGTAAATCTGGACAAAAAGACTTCACAGTTCAGACTTCTAAGTCTGGAAAAGAATGAACCAGAGCTTTGTCTCTAAATCTGACAAAAAGGGTTCAGAGTGCAAACCTCTAAGTCTGGAAAATAATGAACAGACTTTATGCATCTAAATCTGAACAAAAAAGCTTCAAAGTTAAGACCTCTAAGTCTGGAAAAGAAGGAACCAGAGTTGATATCTAAGTCTGAACAAAAACAATTCAGAGTCCAGACTTTTAAGTCTGGAAAAGAAGGAACTAGAGTTTATGCCTCAAATTCTAAACAAAAAGGATTCAGAGTACATATTTCTAGGTCTGGAAAAGAATGAACAACCGTTTATACCTATAAGTCTGAACAAAAAGGGTTCAGAGTTAAGACTTTATGCATCTAAATATGGAGAAAAGAGCTTCACGGTTAAGAGCTCTAAGTCTGGAAAAGAAGGAACCAGAGTTGATGTCTAAGTCTGAACAAAAAGAATTCATAGTCCAGACTTCTAAGTCTGGAAAAGAAGGAACTAGAGTTTATGCCTCGAAGTTTGAATAAAAAGGCTTCAGAGTCCATATTTCTAAGTTTGGAAAAGAATGAGCCAGAGTTTATGTCTATAAGTCTGAACAAAAAGGGTTTAAAGTTCACACTTCTAAGTTTGAAAAAAGAATGAACCAGAATTTATGCCTGTAAATTTGGACAAAAAGGCTTCACAATTCAGACTTCTAAGTCTGGAAAAAAAAGGAGCTAGAGTTTATGTCTAAATCTTAACAAAAAGGCTTCAGACCTCTAAGTCTGGAAAAGAAGGAAGCAGACTTTATGCATCTAAATCTGGACAAAAAGGCTTCACAGTTGAGACCTCTAAGTCTGGAAAAGGTGGAACCAGAGTTGATATCTAAGTCTAAACAAAAAGTATTCAGAGTCCACACTTCTAAGTCTGGAAAAGAATGGACCAGAGTTGATGTCTAAGTCTAAACAAAAAGGCTTCACAGTGCAGACTTCTAAGATTGGAAAAGAAGGAACTAGACTTTATGTCTAACTGTCTAAGTCTGAAAAAAAAAGGCTTCACAGTCCAGACCTTTAAGTCTGGAAAAGAATGAACCAGAGTTTATGTATAAGCCTGAACAAAAAGGCTTCATAGTTCAGACCTCTAAGTCTGGAAAAGAATGAACTAGAGTTGATGTCTAAGTCTGAACAAAAAGGCTTCAGAGTTCAGACCTCTGAAGAACAAGAGTCCAGAGTTAGTCTGGAAAATAACTCTGAATTGTAACTCCGAAGAACAAGAGTTCAGAGTTGTCTTCAAAGTGTGGAAAATAACTCTGAAGTGTAACTCTAAGATGTGTTCAAAACCCTAATCTTAAAATTACTCTGAAGTGTAGGTCTGATGTATAGTTCAGAGTGCAGTCTTCACAGTTCAAACTTATTAACTCTGAAATTCCTAATTTCAATTTAGAACTTTGAATAAGACTACAGACTTCAGACTTTTTAACTATGAAATTTCCAGAGATAAATAACTCTAAAGTGTAACTTTGAGAAACAATAGTCCAGAGTTGTCTTCTAAGTCTGGAAAATAACTCTGAAGTGTAACTCTGAAGAACAAGAGCTCAAAGTTGTCTTCTAAGTCTGGAAAATAACTCTGAGAATAACTCTCAAGCACAAGAGTTTAGAGTTGTCTTCTAAGTCTGGGAAATAACTCTGAAGTGTAACTCTGAGTTTTCTTATAATCTGGAAAATAACTCTGAGAATAACTCTGAAGCACAAGAGTTCAAAGTTGTGTTCTAAGTATGGGAAATAAATCTGAGAATAACTCTGAAGCATAAGAGTTCAGAGTTGTCTTCTAAGTCTGAGAAATAATCAGTTAGAACATGAAATAAAAGAAAGACATCCTAATTTGGTGGGATTGATTGAATAAAGGGACATATGTCAATGAAATAGGCCTATTTGAACTACTAATGTAAATTGTGTCTAGATACATGTCTAGGTGGGAAAACAACCGACTAACCAGAAGATGATACACGTCATCCAAGTTACTTATTATATATATATATATATATATATATATATATAGGGGCTGGTTCAAATAGAAACCAACCATATGGTACAAACTATGTGAACCGATCTTAATCGTTCATTTTATCATCAAACGGTTATTATTAAATGAGATTAAA